CCCAGACCCCCCGGTGAATGCCCCCCCCCTTAAATAATTCCTAGTTACCCCACTGGTGATCTCCTCCTGTCCTCCTTCCGCTTTCTCCCCCTCCCATCCCCCCACCTTACTTCACATTTCTCCCCTCTGAGTCACAGTATAAGCCGATAAAATATTCAGGTACTTTTCGCTGGCAATTTCGCATAATTCCAAACTAGATCGCCCATTCCAGGAGGCGAGAGGGGCGCATTGACGGCGAATCGTTATCGCCGGTAATCCGCGGAGCCCACTTCCCGTTTATCGAAAGTTGTTTCCAACCTCTTTTCTTTTCGTAGCAGGATCCAGGGTCCTCCCCGCGATTGTATCCATGCCAATGCCTCCATTACACTGGTACTCCGGGTCGAATCCTTCCCCATCTTGACATCTTTATGTCCTCCGCTCTCTCCACCGCGCAAATACGGTAACGCGCTGCAGATCCCTCTCAGTTTCGCGACTCCGCTTTTCCATTTTGCTCGTTAGTCCTTGTTTGTTTCTACGTTTCAATTTATAGGCTGTAGTACGCCATGAAAGTGACCAACGCGCGGTTTTACGGTCAATGGAATGTTGGACAACGCTAGAATTTCAGGATTACATCGCGTGGTCCCCATTAAAATTTCACGCTTACATGGTACTTACACTCGACACATCGAACGTGTATAAAACTAGCTCGTTAGGGAGGAGTTCATCGTTTCATGCCCCTTAATGACTGTGTTAACATAAGGGATATAAATAAATAATTAGACACAATAGCGTTAGAGTTGCGCAGGGATCACGGTGAGTACATCACAGTGAGTGAGTCCAAAATTCGCTCAAAAACACATAATTTGCTTTACTCGTTTCCAATGTTTTTCTTTGTTGTTGGCAATTGGGTGTGTCAAGAATAAAGTGTAAGAGGACATAACTTGAATGCAAGTAATCTCGCTTACTGTGGTCAATCTTTCTCTTGCGCGATTTTTGTCTTTTGAAAGCATTTTTACTTTCTCGCTCCCTTCGTTTTTCCTGGTGCAGAAAAGAGGGCGAAATAATATATTTTAAAAGGACGTAAATCAGGCGTGAGAAAAATTGATAATAGTTTATAAAATTAAGCTAGGCTCCTTCTAAACTACCTCTGGGTAAACGTGGTTCACGACAAGACAACGAAGTGGAATGTGCCAAGAGATGCGAGAAGTTTGAAATTGCGCGATTCGGACTGTATAAATTGTGCTTAAAGGAGTAGATTTGATACTTTTATGATGTGTCTATCGCAGTTTTTCGGCGATCTTAACTTGCGAAAGTCTATTCATTAATCTAAACCTTTCGGAGGTAACACACCCATTAAAACATAATACCCGTCAGAAACTGAGGCTATACCTCCTTAGTAAAATAATAATTAATTTTGGCCTACTCTGTACCTCATGGTTTGCTGATGATCTGGTGATTTTAGAGCAAAATTAATATGAGCCAGATTAAATGCCATGAAAATTAATGAAATAATATAGACTTGAATTAGATTTCAGTGTCTCAGAGACCGAGACATTAGTTATAGGAGGTGCTCAGCGTGTAGAGTTGAGTGGTAACCGGAATCAAAGAGCATGGAGAGTATTAGTACCTAGGATTTTGGCTTCGCCAAGATGAAAAGTTTGATCGGGTCATCAAAGATCGCAATTTGCAAGGAGGCAAAACAAACGAAACGTAAACGGTGTTTTCCAGGATAGATTTTTTTCTTTTTGGGGGGGGGGGAGGGAAAGCGCCACCGTGAAGACTATTTTAGTCTATGAAAGTGAGATTTTACAGTTGAAGAAGAAGAGACCCGCGGAAACCCTAAGGGCAACTGGAATGGTCTTTGGCTGAAACCTGTGGGGATTTCGCGAATACAGCGTTATATTTTCATGAACAAGAGCGTAAAAGAATAGGGGTTGAGAATGAAATAATGCACGATATCAGAAACTACTCTCGTGACCTCCTCCAAAACCAAGTTCCTCGTCATGAATGAAATGTGCGGACAGCATTGTAAGTGAGAGTACTCTTTTGCGAGGCAACGTGGCAACATGAGTTCATTCATAACACTTTGAGTCGCGTCAACGTGAGTTTCATTTTCCACGGTGTAATTTACTTTCCGCGCCCATCATTATTTTCTACTCCTGTAATCATATTTAACTTCTAGATTTAGGTAGTTTTGAGTTGATGAGTAAGTTTCGTTTTCAGGAGGACCACCTGCTTCGCCTACTCAGTTTAATTTGCACAACCCCGTCTTCAATCCATCATCCGCTGTATCGTACTTAGTTCTCATTCTCAGTGAAAGAACATAATTTTTCTGAGTCACGTTATTTACCTACTCCTCCATGTACACCCACCGATGATAATACCATTATATTATATATTCACACATACGTACTTTGACTCCTCAAATTTTCACTGTTTGTCCTAATACATGTCATAGAGTTCTACCATCGGCCAAATTCCATAATTTTTCTGGAATTCCTCAGGGAATAGCTCCGAGATGAGTGCGTTCTCTTTATATTTTTGAAAGGAACCCGCGTTTTTCTAACTTTGCGTGATACACCTAATCGTGAATTTCCCCATTTTCTTGCGTCATACTTCATTCTGGATTTTCACTAGTTTGAATTTTATGATTTTCGGGGATATGGCATGGTGGACTGAAAGTCTCGATAAGTTCGCTCTTTTTTAAGTTTTTAAGTATGAACCGGGTAAGAGATCTCTCAGGGCACGGAGCGTTCTTGGAGGGTTAGACCGCGCAAGGGCCGAGGGATATACCTCCTTTTATTAGCAGATTTTAGTAAAATAGTCATTGCCTCAGTTTACGCCTTTATGAAAGGAATATCGCAGGGATTTTTTATTTCTGCTGGATAGTAAGAAGTTTTTCTATTTTCGTTCCTTAATTAAATTAATCCAACGTTTAAAAGGTTGCTCTGCACGCCGAATGAGCACAGAGCAGAAACAAATATTTTCCATTTTTATACGTTCAATTTGTTAAAAGATATGTCACATAAGAAATGTTTTTCTCAACAAAAAGTAAATGGGTAAAAGTAAAAGTATATGGGTGGTAATTACTATTTTATAAACAGAAAGAGATAAATGAGTTTTACGTTTCGTGAATAATCGATCTCAACTCCCGAAGCCAATTATACTTGCTCCACGGTTGCCTGTATTGCATATGAGAACAGATGAAGGCGTTTTAGTTCTCCTTGCTTTCACACGAGTCAATCTCGGAAAATTTTGATAAGAAGTTAATAAACTGCATTTCAGGACGTGTAACTTGGCGGAGGAATCATTTGGTTTGGATAAAAAAACACTACCTACTATGATGCACGCATCTGGAAGATACAAAATCGGTTCTTTCAGATAGGAAATAACTAGGGGCCCTAGAGATATATCTCATCCATAATGACTGCAGTGCTTGTCATTTTTGACCATTTAAATTGGAAAATACTTTTTAAGAACGCGTCAAGGATTTTTGTTTCTACGATTATCAGTATGATCGGGTGATTGATTATGTATTACATCATAGCGACAAGTCGCCAATTCTTGGAGTAGAATGAATGGGTTTATTGTGTTGAAATGGGCATAGTCATTTGTGCTGTGTCCTCATATTTTAAAAAGTATTGTTACCATTAATCATAGTTTAGACACGGAACCCACCAAATTCATTTTTACTTCATTACTAATTGATAGCAGTAACTTTTGATCATAGATGATAAGTTCAATTTATTCATAAAATGTACACGGTTCTAGATAGTTGCCGTCTACTGGCGAACGAGATTTTTATAGTAATTTGTCTCCAGTATTCGAGCGTATTTTTATGAAAACGAGAGGAGGTGAAGTACTGTATATTTAGACCCCCGTAAGCGTCCCTTTCCAAAATTTAAAGAAACTAATTTACAGAATTTCAGTTATTGATCGAAGGTCACTTCCGCCCTTCAAATCCGGAGCTGGTTTCGTCCTTAAATTCGCATTCGTGGGGTTGGGGACAAAATCAACTCCAGATTTGAAGGCGGGAAATGAACCTCTATGCCTGGTGTGAAGTTCATTAGATTTTAAAATGGGACATTTTAGGGGATCTGTACATACTGTGTTTTTTAAATGGTCTCCAAAGCGCCGGGTTTCTGTTACGTTTAAGATTTCATACCTAACTAAGCACGTTTTTTGGTCATCTAAATTTTATCTTTGAATCAATCTGAATTCCCGGAGCTACAGCTTAGGGTAAATCTCGACAGAACTCGTAAAATTTCATTATTCAAAAGCTCTTTATCATTTGTGAAACTCTTCAAAATTCCATGTTCATGAGTTACTTTTTTACTTTCGATATACCGTGCTCTGCAATTCATGAATTCAACATTAAAACCTCATTTGCGCGCGGCTCATATCAATTTTGATGCACGGGTCAGATTTTTAATACAGCAGACATCGATCAAATTCGATGAAAGTTAATGGATGCTCTCGTAGATGGATAGGAGGTCCTCTTTATTTTAGTGAATGAGTGGCTTTAGCTCGTCCTTGCCACTGTAATTAGCTGAAGTAGAGGAGGGGCTGGCAGCATCCTGAAGTCTTCAAAAATCAAACATCTGACAGTTGATATATTTTGCTGTGACCATTAGTGATAAGATTTCTTCTTTTTTGTCTTCTTCTTTCTTAATCATAAACTCGCACCAATGCATTCGGTCGTATAAAGTATGTAAGATGAAAATGGCGTGAAGTCGTTTCCAATCAACTTTCAGAGAACCGCAAAAAAAAGTTCCTACTTTTATCATGATAAACTTTTTTGAGCTAAGGCTTGACAATTAGACCTGACAGTTTCAAACGTCAAAATCGACATTATTACGTAGATTTGCTGAAGGAAAAATTAATCAATGTCATCTGAATCCACCATTCACCATTATAAATCCTGCTTAGATTTTCAGTTACACATATTTAAAAGAGGCACTGAGTCCTACTTTTTTTTACATCTTCAAAAAATTAAATTTTTATCCCCTTGTGTGTTTCAGGCAACGGCAGCACTATGGTTTATGATAATCGTGATTGGTATAAAAAGCAGTGAGGCTAAATTAAAGTAAGTACTTCTATTCAAAATTTACAATCTATTTCCCCCGAATTCACAATTTTGCATTTTCAGAAAAACATAGGCCAGTGAGATAGTTTTCTCTGTTTCTTTTTAAAGTAAGTTAAATGAGACTAAAGTTTTAGAAGGTTGAGTTTTTCGAAAAATCGAGAATTTTACCCAAAAAAATCACCTAGAAAGCACGAATTAACAACATTGCCTGAAAGTTTTCCAGAAAATTCTGCACCTAGAGAAGAAAAACCAGGGAGGTTTTCAAGAAATGAGGTCCCTCAAGAAGAGAGAAAAATGCCAATTATGACATTAGGAATGTAACGTCGTTCTCAAGTGTTCATTTACTTTTTAAATCCCAGGTTAAGGTATTGTAAGCGTTTTAAGGCGTATGATATCAGTTTTCAAATTTTGAAAGCAGAGTAGGCAAGTTTTACATAATAGATTAATTCCAAAAATGCGCATCTCCAATTGCAACGTTGCAAATCTCCACAAAGGTTATATTTCTTAAAAAGAAAACTGAAGAACAGTTTTTCTTGAGAATGCATGTGCATTTTTCTCACTCTTTCAATAATATTTTTTGAAAATTTAGATGGATTTCTTTATTTTAATAAATATAGAATAATCAGAGATTTCACATTTTCCAGTCGGGTTACGTTTTTTTGTACTCGATTCGTCGATATGAGTATGTATAACTCGCGATTTTTTTTTTTAGTTTTCAAAGTTAGTAAATAAAAAAGAAGAGGAGCAAAAACAAACTCGCATATCGAACGAAATAACGAATAATAGCTCGATCGATAAAGATAAAAACATTGTATTTTCACCCTTCTTTACTTGCCTATTTTTCATGTGCCCTCATTTGAAAAATTAATAAATGCGATAGAATTGCGCTGAGATTTATAAGTATTAAAGGAGCAGAAGCAATTTTATGCTTCGATGCAAGTGATATGTAGTAAGATGGGAGTTGGAAGAAACGGAAAATATAAAGAAATGAAGATCTTACAAATATTTCGGCAGGAGCCTAGAAAGAGTAAGCTTCTATCAAATAGCTGTGCACCAGGCGCAGGTGAAATGTAGATTCCTTGGATTTATCTTTGAAAGCATGCAGTCTATGTGTGATAAAGACGATTTTGGATCTGTCGGGCGAGTCAAAGAAAGGCATGTCTCGTGTCTGGTCTATTGTCTAATCCTTGTTGTCAAATCTTGTTTTTCATAAGTTTTGAGACCAAAAGACTAAAAGATAAATTTCTCCGATGTACATTTAAGAACTTGCAACAGAATTTAAACAATTTATAATTATCTGGGATTATATTTTAAGATTCAGTATGTTTTATAGATACTATGCGGCGTGCTTCCTATAGAAGAATATATGAGAGAGAAATAAATATTAATTTTCGATCATACTTAGTGACTGCAATTCCTTGTAGAAAGGTATTTACTTTTTTGGCGCTTACTTTTTTTTACCACGCGTTTAAGTCTCCAAATCTATTGCTCTCAGCACTCGGTACATACGTTCAATGGACCATTAGATAAGGTACGAATTTAAATCATGGTGTACATTTTTGATCATCAAAATTTCACGTCCAACACGTTTTGTAGAACGAAAATTACCGCAGAGTCACTCCTAACAAAGTTTTTCCATGCATAAATTTAGTGTTCTTGAAAAGGCTTTGAAAAACCCTGAAATTTTCACCAGTACAATAATAGGTATTTCTTGAACCGGTATAAAGAATTCTTATGTATCTGTTCCAGGACCACGGAAGAGTTACCAAAGCCATTGAAAGTCGTCACGAACCTGCAAAAAGCTCTCTACGCCCAAGATTTCGGCTACTCAGTCATTCCAATCCCGAACAAAATCCTAAACCAAGTCAAGCCCGCCGTCACAACACCAAAATCAGACAATGCCCGCGTCGGACGAGGAATGGGTCGAGGGTTCATGGGCCGCCGTCCAGGCCGAAGCCGAAGGAAGCGACCCTACAGGCCCCGCTCCAACTTCGGGCTCCAGGGCTATGCGTCCGCCTACAAACAGTGGATGCCCGTCCCCATGCGCAGACCCATGGGCATGATGGGCCGCCGCCCGATGCGCTTCAAGAACCCCAAAATCCGCATGCCGTACTACCACATGAACCTAGTGGAGCCGCTAGAAGACTACATGGAACCGGAGGTCATGCCCGAGTACGAAGACGAGTACGAAGTCATGATGCACGAACCGGAGGCAGTCTACGACCCTGAGGAGATGTACGACGACATGCCTCGGTCTCCGAGCCGGAATGTGTACAGTTACCAGAGGGACGAGGACTTCATGCACAAGCATGCAGACCTCTACGCGAACGGATTCAACCCTGGGCACAAGAGTAGAAGTACTCGCTACAGGACGCCATTGAGCGTCATGTACAGCTCGAAGTACCGCTCTACGGCTCAAAGGGACAGGGAGGAGGAGGAACCACCTAGGAGGGATCCCGACATCGAGGCCACCAATTTCGAGTCCGACGCCCCTTTGACTCCGATGGCCCTGAGAGGTTCCCCCGACCTTTACAAGCGCTCCAAGAAAGAAGACCCCGAGCATAGATACCTCCAAGACGACTACAGGACCTACAAGGACGTCCTGAGCGACGAACCCAGTCTTCGGATGAACGACGCGGAGGTTATAATGGGCCGCTCGAAGCACGAGGTGCCCAGCTGGACAGGGAGTGTCAAGTTCGTGCCGCGGCCCTTCGCAGCCGCCATCGGGGCGCCCTCGAGGACGGTCGTGCCAAGGGAGAAACACAGCCGGTTCACGGAGAGTCATGAGGAGAAAGGCCGCGAACTCCACGACAAGGATTACCTCTACGACATCCGGACGGATGACTCACCGTTGAGTCATCGATTGCTCGGTAGAGAGCGTGAGCGAGACCGCGAGAGGGTGAGGGTGTACCGATCCAGCCCCGATCGCTTGGCCTACCGTAAGCCGACGGAAGACGCGAGGTCCGAGTTGAGGTCCTCGAACATGGAGGATGCGAGGGTGCAGGAGATGCAGGGTAGGAGGTACAGGGACCCGGAGTATAAGAAGTACGTGGATGCTATTTATACGAGGGAGCTCCAGGAGTTGTACTCGCGGGGACACAAAGGGCGCGAGTATGAGAGTGAGGAGAGGAAGACGGAGAGTGATAGCCAGACGTACTTGGCGAACCATAAAAAATCCGACCAAGCGACGGCAGCGCAGGGCATGGAGATAGTCATTGATGATGGCGTCGCCGGTTGGAAGGTGGGAGGTCGATGAGACATGATCAAAATTTTGTAATTTATAATTTTTTAAAAAAAAAAATGTCTCCAAAAGTTTTTAAAGAGAAACCCGTTATGATTTTCCGCTGACAAATGTTATGGGATTTGACTGAATTTTTAAACAAAATTATTTATTTTTATATAGCTGAGTTGACCATGCACAAAACTTCTTTAAAGATGCCGATTCAGCGGAAGTGGACAGACTTATGGTCAGCCGACTGCATTTCACGTCGTCTAATTCCCTCTTTTGTTTTATTTCTTTAACAGGAAACTGAGCAATATATTGCCTTGAATTTTATCCTGAATTTATTTTAGATCATACTGATCTTTTTCACGTTTCAAGTCAGAATTTTTTATAGTCTTTTGATGGAAAAAATTGAAGCATGAGGAAACAGCACGTAATATTTGATGTAATTAAGCTGTTCTTGTTAAATTCGTCCAATTTACTCTTCGCTCAAACGCATAATTGGACGCATTTATCCAGAATGAGCCTAAATGCCTTTCCTGTTGCGTAATTTTCTCTCCTAGTCTATTTTCTCACACAAATATTTTACAGCGTAACATTACCGAGAAATTACTCGTGGATTTACCCATTCGTGTTAAAAATACACCAACAATATGTCAAGACATAGTGTTGATTGATTTTAAAAACTGAGACATGAGAGGGAATTAGGTTATGGACGTTCCATATAGTTACACTGATTTCGAATACCGTCCAATTGAGTTCTTAGATGATGAGTGTAATATTCGGATTGTGACGTGCTTTATGGTGTTAAAGTGTTTTCTCCATAGCTCTGCTTTCTAGACAAAAAAAAATTGGAACGTTCACAGCTAGATAGGTCGGTTATATTGTCGGGAGAAAATAAAATCCTAAAGTAAGCTCAAATTGTTTTAAGTATCCTCGCTGTAGCTTTAAGTAGACTTATTTTATGAGTATGTATTTAAATACAAAACACTGAGGAAATATTTATGCGGAGCGAATAAAATGTGTGCTGTAGCTTTTGTTGGTTACGCTGATTCAATCCGAGTGCTCTTTATCCGTGCACAGTTAATACGCAACAATTCGCGTGTTGACACAAAACGTTATTGATACTTTATTCGTTGTGCAGAAAATTTTTCCTTGGTGGAGAGCATGAATGTACAAATTTTATTTTAAGGTGAAAAACCATCGACGAAAATTAAGTTAAACTCAGCTATTTCCACACAAACTTAATATATTATTGAATCCGAGATAACTTTTTTTTTTTATCTTTTTTTCACTTACTTCCGTAGATCATAAGCTGAAACACTCCTTTTTTAATGAAAGTTATTTAAACAAATTCTGCACTGAAAATTTTTAACACTCGTATCGAAAATTTTTAGGAATCAGAATCTCGAGATAATTTCAGCTCATCATATTCTAATAAAAAACTTTGTTATTGAAACAAAGTAAAAAAGTACGCCAAGAACACACTAACATATCTTGTAGGTAATGAGAATTATAGAATGTATTCCTTGTAAATTATTGTCATCTGGTTACGCATTTAGGTATAGAATTTTAGTCATAATTTATGATTTATAAACGTAAAAAATAAGTAGCTGTTGGTGCTTGATCGTTAAGGAAATCGGTTTTAGTTATTAGCTGTAAAAACCGCTTTCTCCGTAGAACATTTTTTTGTAGCTATGTTCCACTTACCTGTATAGAAATAAACTATCATGGGAAGATTTATAATCATTGGGTGTGCCAGAATGGAAAATAGGCACAATGCGCTATCTAAAAACTATAGTTCTGCAAAGATATTCTTGAAAATAATCATCGATGCGTTAAGGTTTTTATAAAGTTCATTATTGAAGTAGTATTCTTCAAATCATCCCCAATAAGACGGAAATATGTGTAAGCCGTGTTTTCAGAGCTATTTAATTCTGACTTTAAAATGGATGCATGTTTCTAAGTAATTAAAAAAAAAATATTTATAAATATTATTCCAGATGTATTTGTATGTTCGAGTGAGTGCTAAAATGAAAATATGGAAAATTCCTTGCAAGCCAATGTTCTCGAGAAGTTCAGGCCGCAATTTTACATCCTTGTCTGAAACTTGTTTGTGAATGGCAACTTCAAGAAAAAAAATCTTCCAGTGAAAACTGATAAGCTTATTGCGGTTATATTCAAAATTCTTGGTCCAGTCCGTCGTACTTTGATGAAAATGATAACAACTTGGTACATCATAATGAACTTTTGGCAGTTTTGTCACATTTCGGCCAACAGGATTGAGACTCTAAGTTTCTCTGTTTAGTGGAGTCCGCTGGGACTATTGCCAGTGCCTAGTGACAATGCATCAAACTCAATAACTTTTTAAAACATAATACATTTTTAAAATGTGATACATGTTTAAAGAAGACATTACATTCACATGCATCCATTTAAAGGTCTATTCTTAACCAAAGATATTTACATGTGCTTCACTTGCTTTCATTAGCATTTTTGTCTTATCCATACTAGATATGAAGGAATTAGAGTTTTTAGATTCGTCTTCGTAGATTAAGTAAAATTAGAGTAGTTTTCCATGAAATGGATTTACCAGCATCTATTAAGTTAATTTTTCCAACAATTTTGTAAAAAGTATCTGTTAGCAAAGGTCGTAGTTGAGAAGAGCTTCCTGCATGAAGATACTTTAACACTACCTACAACCAGACGAATACTGTAAAATCAAAATAGAAAAAGTTGTGAAACACAAATGCTTTTAAAAAAGAGAATTTTCGAAAAAATCAAATGTTATTTTGCTCTCTCGTCTTTTCAGGTGATTGATTTCATTTTTGATGAACCTAAAATAATTTGTCAAAGAGAAGCGTAGCAATATCTGGCCGTAAGCAAGTTCAACTAACGCCGCCGCGCCGCATTGAGGAGATGATACCACCCGCATTGCACAGTTCAGCAGTCCTTTAAGTTATTTGATCCTCCTTGGGAACAGGCACCATTTTTACACTCATCTTTACCGATTCAGATGAACTGATCAGATGAAAAAAATAAGTTTCACTAACATGTTTCTCCCGAAATTTTACGTATGATAAAATACTTAAATTGTAAATCCCTGACGCATGGGAGAGCTCCATTCCACAATCAGGCTATGTGTATAGTGCCGTGTATATTACACAGTAGTGGCTCTGGCTTAAGTTACATCACGCATAGTACGTGGAGGAACGTATGTTCGTTTAATTTACATTTAAAAGTCACGCATCTTGTCTGCGACACTTTCACGTCTTCACCTACCGCGCCGCGCATGTGAGTGACACTTGATTTTCATGGGAAAATCGTTTCGATTTGAATTCAATTGTCTCCGCACTAGACGCTCAGCGCAGGCAGGCGTCTCACGGATAGTATCCTCTGGTTATGCAACTTGCAATTAATTTTATACATTCACTCTAAGCGGGCTTAGTTTCAGAGCAAGCCCTCGTACAAAATGGCGCGTTGATGAAGTTTTAAAGCATTTAATCGAGGGGCGCGTGGATTGAAAATCAGAATTGCTACGTGTTGCTAGGCCATTGTTGCAGAATATTGTGTGGAATTTCACCACTTGTTGCACCGAACCTCCCTTTAATAACAAGCGAGTTGGAGCATAAATTAATTTCGACGTGAGTCAGTAAAGAGAAATCAAAATTATGCTTGTGAGTCTCAAATTGATAAACGAAGTTCCTCAGCTAGTGCAGGAGTTATTAGATGAAAAAGTGGTGATTTCTAGAATGTCTACATTTCATAATCAAATACGGTAAAATAATCAAAGACTCTACAGTATTCACATTTGATTTTTTGGGAGTACATTGCTGTAATAATTTTTTGGCTGATTTGATTCAATCAAACAGCACATCGTCATCATTCATACTGCAATGGGTAACACAGACGCATACGTAGAAAGGAAGTCAATGTACATCAGGAATATCTAACAGTTGTTTTCTTCTGGAACAATAAGTCGTACTTCATAGCTAGGAAGTTTATCCCCTTTTGGCAAACACAAACGGAGTAATCCAGCTTAATCAACCAAGGAGCTTAAAATCTCCAAGTGAAAATTCCTCGTTTTCAAATAGATGTTAAACATCATTGAAGGACGAACATCTATATAGCACTATAGCGTCATAGGTAAAAAGTATACGTCATATTTTTTAATTTTACTTAAATTATGTTTTGTTGAATAAGAGCTTGACTGTTATGCTATGTGAAAACTTATTATTGTTGTTTTGTTACTTTTTCCTGAGGTAATTTTAATATTTATTCAAAACATTTCTGTTATATTTGTAATCATTAATTAGAAACAAACACAAAAAGAAAACCATACATTTTCCAAAATCTTTGGATTTTTTTTATTACCTTGACTCCTCTCAAATGAAAAATATGTGTGACCTCGATACCATTAATTTTATTAACTCCATCTGTTCTAGCTTGAAGCCCAATATTAAACGAAATCAATTTGGTGGCACAAAAGAGACTTTTTGAAAAACATCTGAATATGGGGGGAAAAAACTTGTGCACAAAGTAGGTGAACAAAAGTTTTTTAAAAAAATCATTGAAAGTATTGAAATACTTATATTCACTTCTGAATGTCATGATTAAGAGGGCTGCAAAACGGTTTACAAAAAAAATGGTACCATGTTGATTCCTAATTTGATTCAATTCTATCCATTTCATCTTACAAGACACTAAGATGAAAAATGAATTAATAATTGTTTCTAAATGTTGATTTTTTGAGGAGAGACATAGGAAACACCTTTGAAATATGTATTTTTTAAGAAAACCTATGAAAATAGCAAAACGTGAATTTTCAAAGACAAGAAGAAAGAAGAGAAGGAGGAAAATAATGGAGCAAGAAAGAAACGGAGAGATTTGACATATTAATTACTGAATCATGCATGGGGTTGAGGACTGGAAGAATATTAGAGACTCGTTAATTCTATACTTATACATTTTTATCATCACAACTCTACACTAAAGTCAACTGTTTTTACGGAAAATATGGCAAACTTTACGCGTTGCGGGTTCACTCGAGTAAACTATATTCTTGTTCTGATGGGTCTCCTCATTTTCTACACCATGGTTAAAATTTCGTCAGATTTTTATAGTTTTTTTTCTTGTGGTTTTAAATTACTGAAAATCCATAGATTTTGTAGTTCAATGACGCCGTATACAGTAAATTACAGGCTACGGATCCGTAGCAGACGGACTGCATTACGTATAAAGTAAGGCTTATTTATAGACGCATCCTTCTGCCCAGAAAAAATGTTGGCAGTGTAGGATCCCGAGCATTCCCGGCTAAACTCTACTTCTCTCCGAAACTTTGGGAGAAACAAAAACAACAGACGCACGCACCCTCACCCTCACCCTCACATGCAAATGGTAGCCACTTAAACTTTGAAGTGCCACATTTTGTCGCTCCTCTGACGTAAAGGCGTATCTCTATTCCCACACGAGCCTTGAAAAGCATTAAGTTATACGGAGAAAAGGGATCACATTGAAATCGAGATTTGCCCTTACGTCAGAGGAGCGACGGAGACGCCCCCGGTAACTTGCCCGGGAGACTATGATCCCCATTCCCCATGCATGACGACGGTGAAATATTTGCTGCCTATTTCTGGGACGATATTATTTAAACTAAACGAGGGGCTTGGAGGACAAGGCGCATAAGTGCAGTTTTTGAAAAAATCGAGATATTAATGATTTCATGTAAAACTAGTCTAAACGCATATTCTGTGAAAAATTCGCTGACAAATTCTAATTTTGAAGCATCAAAAAGTCAGTTTGAACTTTCTTTCCGCCATGAAGATCCATGTAATTTCGAAACTACAAACACGTATTATGCCGTGCTAAGGAAAAACGCGGTATGAACCTTCGAGAGTTGCCAAATTTCCTTTCATAAAATATGTATTTTTTAGAAAATTCATGCATATTTTTCCTCGAAATTTTCAGATATTTTAGGTCAGATTGCGTACAAAATTGTCTAAAAAAATCTGGGAAATAATATTCGCAATTTTCCAAGTAAATTCGGTTTTTTCGGAAGTAACCTGGCAACGTCTGAGGGCTCATACGGCGTTCCTTCTTAGCACGGCAGTATTCCTCGAAATAGCAAAAACTGCTCTTATGCGCCATGTCCTCCAAGCCCCTCAAATGGTCTCTTGACACTGTTCCATTGACGCAAAATCCGGGCAGGGTTAAGTAACCCGTTTTAGAGACTACCCAAGTATACACGAGGACCAAGATATTGGATTATGACGAAATAATCTGGCTCCATTGACAACTCAATCAAATAGTATCGAGATTCAGGAGTCGATCGCAGCGCGATCTGTTCCACGATGTCTTAACGTGGAGCAATTAATCTCCTGTTCTTATTCCTCATTTCCATCGTCGCTTTTCAATGCATGCTCCATGCGTTCAAGTGTGCCCCCTGTGGCCACTCGCTCGTCAGATTACACACTGCGGTCAACCGTAAAAATCCAGGAAGTGACAGGGTCTCGAGTTTGTGTCCAATACCGTATCGTGCCACTGGCACAATGTGAAAGTGGTCATTCATCTTTAGACCACACTACACGCAACCTCTTTACCAAGGAAGTCTGCAAATGTCTCATCATATTTTAAGGGCGTTTTTGAACTTGCGCATAGTGGATCGAGTCAATTAGAGAGGTCGGACATGAAATTTTTGTCTAAAAATGCAAATTTTGATGTTCACTTTGCCACATTTTAGATTTTAAGGGGCGTTTCTTGGAGAAAATTGCACGAAAAAACCAATGGAGCCACTTTTAGAACCTCACATTTTTGTATAATCGGAGTTATAAGTTATAAAAAATACTGTGGAATCAGCTCTTCAAGCACTTTCAGATGAAGCATTAACAAATTTGCATGCAAATTCTTTATTTTGTCCGACCTCTCTTATTGACTGATTCCACTGTGTTGCGGTGCAGTGTACACTCTCGACTTGTTTTTAACTACTTTAATCCACCAAAACAGACGTCAAACTAAACTTTGTTAAATTTTTTCCTCGCTGGAAAAAAAATACTTTTCTTTTACGTTAACATCTTTCTTTTAATCACATGATTCCGTTGGTCTCATCCCTTCCATCTCTCTTTCCCTCTCAACCCTTCCATCTTTCTTTTCCCGCTTTCTGTCGTGCCCCGCTGTGGGACGGGTTTCAGACATCGATGGATTGGGGTACGAGCTAACTCATTTCGTACACCACCATGCTGTCGTGCTAAGGGAAAATGCCGTATGAACATTCAGGTGTTGCCAAATTTTTATTTGTAAAACACAAATTTCCTGGTAAACCCATACATATTTTTCTTTCAATTTATCAGATAATGTTGTTTTTAATCTCACCTGAGTTCCTGAAAATTTCAAGGGAAAATATTCATAACTCTCCTAAAAAATAAACATTCAATTAAAAGAAGTTTAGCAACCATCGAATGTTCATACGGTGTTCTCCCTTAAACCCTTGTCCCACGATCAAATGAACCCATCAAATAGTCCTCAAATGCAAGATGGCGACTGGTTTTCGCGCAAGCCTGCTAACAAAAGTTAGCGGGCCGTCAAATGTTGATGAACCCGCCATCTTGCATTTGATGAATTCATCGTGCATCGGCACAAACAACCAAGCAAGATGAGAGCTGTTCAACTCCGCCAGTTTGAATCATAGTGCCAAACACGGTGATCGGCGTTAAGCGCATATTGGCGCCTACAAGGCAGAGGGAATACTTCACGCATTGCGCCAAACACAGTACGGTAAGCTCGGTCGGCTTGCGGAACGCGCATATTAGCGCCTACAAGCCTGTAGGAATACTTCAAGCATTGCGCCAAAATACAATTCAGTCGGTGTGATACGCATATCGATGGCTAACGAACAATACCGCCTATTTTCAAACGAACGATTTTGCAGAACGAAGAGAGAACTTTGCCCTTTTTGTAATTTTAGATTTGCAATTTTTTCATACATTACAGCGTCATTGAAGCGTTCCCTTGCAGAATTGGAATACAACTAAAATCATCAGCTTGTGTATTTTATACTGTAGAATGCGGCAAAGTCGGTGGCTCATTTTTGCCAAAATTGTGAGATTGTCGATATTGTTAGTTAGCCATTGATAAGCACCTTATACGCACTTCACGGAGTGGTGTTTCTTCTCCTGCAAATAAGGAAACCTTGTCTTCATACCCTGACGCCAGCACACCATTACTCTTTGCTATTTCATCTGAGGTGAGTGCGTAAAAATTTAACTATATGTTATAAAAAATATCAGCTATAACGACCAAAAAAGGCCGGTCCCCTCAAGGTCGTTATATTCGATTTTCTTTTGTACACAGAAGGCCTCATGTTGACGGAAAAAAATTAGGATTTTTCGTGCCATCCGATTCCGACGAAATAACTATTTTCGTAATTTTGACGTAAATGGGAGATCAGGGACTCCGAGATCATGAATTTCGGAATCCTTTGGAAATTTCGGAATTCTCTATTCGTCCCCGTGGTCATAGATTTCCTACCTAAGATGACCGAGAAAAAGGCCTGTAACCTGCTTGTTTAACAAGCTACTTTAGCTGTTACTTTAACTAGCTATGTTCGCAAGATACGACAAGATAAAGCCCTATTTGCGCCGTGTAATATATCGATTTTCGATTTTTGTCGTGCCGACATAAATTTCAACAATCAGGCTGTTGGCGCGGTAGGTTTTGCCACCCTGTTTACTTTATAGACGCAAGCACCATCAGTGGTTTGAGAACGTGATTGCAAGGCAAGGATGGAATACATAAAAGTAGGGCTAATCCCTTAAACTGGGCAAGATTTGTGTGGTTGGATAAGAATAATTTGGGTATCATTATCTTGGATTGGCTTGATTTTGCCTAAACTGTGAGTGCAATCGATTTTGGGCACTTGATGTCGTCGTCACTCTGACGTAAGGGCGTATCTCAATTTTCTTATGAGCTCTGATTTACATAAAGAGCCATGCTTTCTGGGGCCCATGCGGGAGTCAAGGTAAGTCCTTACGCCAGAGGAGCGACGATGTGTGGGCACTAACCGTGAACATCTGTCGTTACGTTCGCATCTCGTGGAAAAAGTAATTCTCACTCTTGTTTTCTTTTCTTACACAGCAGCGATTTGTCACGATTGGCTCAGCATTCCTCAATTTTATGGAAGAAATTGGGTCATTTTTTATTCTGCTTACTCATTCATCATCATCATTCATTGCCACTCCTGAGTATGTTAATGTGGATTAAAAAAAGAAACAACAGAGAAAAAAGGCATAATGGATCCAATTGATTCCGGAGCTCTGACCAAAACTAACATGCAACGGACTACTGTATTGTGCTGGTTACACGCTCAAATTTGACTGGTGTGCACCGTCTACCATCAAATTTCTGCGGCCTGCAAAAATTTGATGGTAGATGATGGAGCTGTGGGGCTAATCCTTCATCTGATTTCCATACAACCGTGCTTATTCCATGCTTATTTCAATCAACACTTACTGTTTTAATTAATTTTACTTATCAATCTAGATAGCTCTTTACCGCCACCTTGGTCATAATTTTGATCGGAATTTGACGGAAATTTGAGCGTGTAACCAGGCCATATTGGGAAGATTGAGGTGATATTCTTAATACCTTATCACTTTAACACCTCGACACCTCGATCACCTTTCGGTAGTTTTGTCCCTTGAAACATTTGCTGGAGCTTTGACATGAATTTTATTAAGGAGTAAGATAATGAGCTACGCTTTCAAAGTGGTTACCAGTGGTTACGTGAAAACGGCTGGGGTCAGGTCGCGACTCAATTTTTTATTGATTTTTTTGTGTTTTTGCAGCGGAGAATGAGCTGGTAATATGCAGCTCGGAACGTCCTGCCTTTTGGTGATTTTATTGTTTTAGCCTTGTTAACTCATGTTTTGATTCCCTCCTTTCTTATCGTCAAGTATGCTGTACGAACTACAGAACTTAATAATTCGCTCATTGTAAATTTCGACTTGAAATATCTGTGTTAATATCGTAAATCGAACTTTTGACAGAAAAACTTCTCAACACAGCACGACAAAGTGCCCCAATTAAAACGTCGAGCGATGAAATCAAAATATAATTCAAATGAGGTAATTGCCATAGAACTTATGCAAGAGCTGGTCCACGAGATACTCAGATGCTTAACGGAAAAAGGAAGATGGGTCGGCAGTCGCGGAGGAACGAAGGAAATGAAAAAAGAGCGAGAAAGAACTCCGCGAAAACTGTCCATCTTTGTCTCCCCTTCGGGACTCCTCAGTCTGTAGGATTCACGTCGCGAGAAAGAAGAAAAGGAGGAAGAAGAAAGAAACTCCAAAACTCATTACTGTCGCCGTTGACTAAACATCAAATCCGAGTCATGCCATCGGATCGATCTCAGAGGGGGCGATGTTTGCCCAAATGAGACAAGCAGAGAGAGAGAGAAGAGTGGATTTTCCGACGAGCGACAGAGAAAATTTTTTACGTCGGCGGCCCGGCGCGAGGCGGCGTTTTCCGTGCCTTCGAAATAAGTGCCTGGTAGTTGTCCCGCGTCTACCGGCGATCGTTATTATGTCCATTCCTTCATTATATTATCAGTTAATGTGTGAATTATGTCACGTCGGTGATCAGGTTTGGTACTAGTGCATCGGCGGCGTCCGGTCATATCCCGTTTCGCCCTGCCCCTGGCATGCCGTACCATGTCTAGTGCGTCGCTACAGGACCCATCCGTCTTTTTCGCTCCTGTCCGCTTTTCGAGTTTATGTGCACCGCCTGAAGTTCCGCGCGCTTCCGGAGGCACCTCGCCCTTCTCGCGTTGTTCGGTTCATGAGTTTCGTGCCAGGAAATGACCGCAAAGTTTACACGATGGATAGCATTTGTAAGTGCAGTATAAACATAAACTAAAAGTTCACTGAGCTACAGGTTCCACCCAGAATGTGACATAGCAGGGCAAAATTGACCGAGTTTACCAAAAAGGAAGCAACTCAAATTCTCGAAAAAATTGAGTTAAGAATGTTTTTGAGTTCCACTAGTAGTTTACTTTCTCCTGTTTAAATCTGAAAGTCGGAAAAAGAAACTAGTTTGTGAAAAGTGAGGTTAAAGTTTAGTTTATGCATTGAGCCTTATGTCTAGATAAAACTTCCAACCTCTTTTTCTCAGTTTAAATTTAATGAGCCTTAGTTCCTTTCTGATAAACTCAATCCAAATGTGCCTTAACTTGCAGCAAACATGCAAGGAACATGTAGGGAACATGCAGGGAACATGCAGGGAACATGCAGGGAACATGCAGGGAACATGCAGGGAACATGCAGGGAGCATGCAGGGAACATACAGGGAACATGCAGGGAACATGCAGGGAACATGGGCGAACTCGGGCCTGGAGGACATGGCGCATAAGTGTAGTTTTTGAAAAAATTGGGAATCTAATAATTTCTAGAAAAACTAGTCTTAATGCGCATTCTTTGAAAAGTTTACTCCCGAATTCCAATGTTTAAGCGTTTGAACTTTCTTTCCGCCATAATGATGCAAATAATTTCAAAACTTCAAACATGAATTTCTCGAAATAGCAAAAACTGCTCTTATGCGCATTGTCCTCCAAGCCTCTCAAATGAGATAACGATGCCGCAGCTTAAAAGAAGTTAATTTGACACGTTTTGATTAATGATCACCTATGAACCCTGAAACTGAATCGATTGGCAGCAGATCATGGCAAACCTTTGGTTTTATGATGATAATAGGAACTTTGTAAAAATCGAAGTGAAGGAGGGGTTGCGATTTGAGCCGAAATCGGCCTCTCCACGAAATCGGAAAATTTTTGGATATATGACGGTTGACGATGCATATTAACCAGAAATAATCGAGTTTTGCTAATACTCACATGTTTTACTGCGAAACATGGACCTACACATGGCTCCGGAGCCCAAAATAGCTGAAAATTCTCGTTTTTCGCTTTCGATCTTGATCCATAGGTGATGGGCCATGGGCTTCGAAGATGATGTCAGGGACAGCTAGGCACGTAACATTGTTAAATATGATCAACCGACCCCTTCGGGCTCAAGTTCAAACTCGAACTTCTCCAACTTTTTATCCCAAAATAGCTGAAAATTCCCGTTTGACCCATGTTTAATTCAGGTTCTAGACTGAACCCAGAACTTGTCCTCAAATATAATGGATTCATAGAGCTTTGCTTTATTCTTGAATGTTCTCACAAGTCACTTGAGTGATTCTTAGTTCAAAATGAATTGCACACTAATGCACGTATGGGTAAACTTGTCAACTCCAGATTGCTACGTGCTAGGTATCCCTGACATCATATTCGAAGCTCATGACACGTTTCTTTTGGGCCCTGGTCGAAATCTGAAGTAGAACCGCGAAAACGTAGATTTTAGCCCAAATAGTTGAATGCATCCTCGCTCTGTAGGCTTTTAAACAGTTAGAGATTATACGGCTGAGTAGAATTTTCCTCAGCAGAATCACTCGGGAGTTCCTTGAAAAGTCGCCACTACTAGGACTTAAACCCGGGGCCTACTGAACCTGTAGATTTCTGGTGGCGGAAAGAAAGGATTTAAGCCGCAGTCCGCACTTTAGGTCGGTGACGTCGTTAATAATATTTAAACAGCTGAAGCATTTTTCGGAAAATTGACAATGTTGCGAAAAAAAGTAATAGTTTAATTCATCGGTACCATAGGGGACGTTGGAATCAAGTTACTTTTAAAGAGAAACAAGCAAAGCACCCTTACTTAGTTTCGAATGCGACAAACACTTAGTTTAACTCTTGGATGCAACTATTCGGGCTCCATGGATGTCCATGTTGCATATGCACGGATGTGAAGGCGTTTTGACTGTCCAGGCACATCCCGCTTTACACGCTGAGCGGCGCTAACAGTGGACTTTCCTGCAAGGATCCAAAATTACAGAGCGCTTTCAATTCTTCGTTTATACTACCGAGATATCTCGTATGCAAAACAGGCATACGCCACTGCACACAGACTCAGGAAGTTAGTATCTTTTGCGGTCAAGTTTTTGCACACCGATGCGCGAAAGTGATTTGTAGGGCAACTATTCTTGCCTAAGGGCTGTGTTTGATGTATAAGTGAAGAACTAAAGGTACTCTGTCATTATAGATAATTGCAGTGAAAACCTTAACAAAAAACCAAATAAAAAATTAGAAACAAAATTAGGTTGAATGCATGCAATGCAACTCGAAATGCAGTAATTGATTGATTCCAGTCAAATCCTCCGATTGACACAGGTCCTTACTGCAGATATTTTTCTACTATACTGAGTCTAATTAATGTATGATCAGGATACCTGTATTCAAGCGGCGTATCTCTCGAGAGATTGGTTCACCTGCCTTGCCTTATAGTTTCACACTTTCAGTTCAGAGTGTTGCCTATACTATATTTAATTTTGTTTCGATGGACGTTAAAAGTTTACTGTTTAAAGTAGTGTATACTTACATACAAGTCGCTTTTACGGCGTCTCCCGCGGCGCGGCGCTCTGCGGCACCTAATCGCCATTCTTGTCTATCGATCCAGAGATCATCTAGTAAATGGCATCTTGTATTTCCGTCTTGAATGACACATATGCACGATTTTGCTGGACGTCCCCTACGTCAACTCCCAGGAGGAACTCAATCTAGTACCTTCTTAGGATATCTGTCATCCGCCATTGTTTGAACATGACCATACCAGACAAGCTATATTTGGTCATAATTTCATGCACGATGTTCTGCTCGGCGTTCATGATCTCACTCACTCCATCGTTCCTTACGTGATCTCTCCTAGAGATTCCGGCTGATCTTCGCCAGAAATCTATCTCAGTTGCCTTAAGAATTTTTCGGGTATGATCTTTCATGGGCCATTCTTTACTTCCGTGGGTCAGAATTCTTTTGATTATGGTGTTATAAATCAATCTTTTTTTTTCTTTGGAGATACTTTGATCCCAAAGAATCCCATTTAACATGGCAATAGCTTTCCTTCCATGCAGGTTTCGATCTTTTATGGCTTGGTCCATCTTTCGGCCTTGTCCACACGAGCGCAGTTCGCGGAACTTATTCCTCGAACTTGCTCAGTTCCCGGAACTTATTCCTTGAAACGAGGCATGCTGTCCACACGGGTTCGTCCGAACTGGAACCGGAACTTCAATAAAACTATACAATTATTGCAAAATAATAGATTATTATGACCGCCAAAGTAACAAAAATAAATGTCAAGATCATATGTAAAGGACGTGAAAAACAAAAACAAGCAAATTCACATCAAAAGAAACATATTTAGAAGCTCGGAGCACGGGGGAAATTCCAGGTTTTGGAGGAATAAGTTTCAGCTCAGCAAAAAACTTGTTCCGGGAACAAGTTCCTCGAACTGAGTTCTGCGAACCGCGTTCGTGTGGACAAGGCCTTCCATCCTGGGATATTCGAACTCCTAAATATTTGTAATATTCGCAGCTTTTAATATATTGTCAATCTTCCAGCTCTATGTCTTGTTGATCCCCTCCTATCGTCAACTTTTCTGTTTGCTGTTGGTCTTTTCTGTTTTATGTAGTGTAATCCTTTCCCTTTTCGTATTTGTTTGCAATTTTAATCACGAAAGGTCGATCTCGAATACTCTTTCCCTGATGTTGTCCGTGTGTCTAACCGTGAACCACGAGGAGGTTGAAGGCATTTAAGTGCCCTTGATTATCTGTGGGAGAAAAATTAACTCCATAGCCCCTTGTTTCACTTTCTATCGGGGCCCTCTGCTCCTGTTCGGTCGGATTTCGACCCCCGCCCCCGCTTAAGAGCCAAGATCACGCTCAGGAGAACAGTGTCTGATCACGAAGCGTCGGGTTCACAGGTCAACGTCAGCCAGATCTGCCATTTCTCACACAATGCCACTGCACTAAGAAAAAGAACCGCATCAGCATTCATGAACGTTGCTGAAGTTCCATCGAGAGAATTTGAATTTTCTGGAAACTTTAGAATATGTTTGACCTTCAGTTTTGGAATGAATTTTACTATCGATCCGATCTAAAGTATCTGAAATTTTCGAAGAAAAATACTTACAAAAACCGGCGAAAATTGATGTTTGATCGGGAAGAATTTGGCTGTATTACAATCTGCATAAACGTTTTTACTAACCGTGGCAGAATGGTCCACTACTCTTGACGTCTTAGAGCACGATTGAGGAGCTTGGAGGATAAGGCGCATAAGTGCAGTTTTTGCTGTTCCGAGAAATAGTGTTTGAAGTTTCGAAATTACATGGATCCTTATGGTGAAAAAAAAGTTCAAACCGTCTTTTTGACACTTAATAATTGGGGCTTGGGAGCGAATTTTTCACTGCATATGCATTAAGGCAAGTTCCACTTGCAAAAATCATTATACCTCAACTTTTTCGAAAACTCCACTTATGCGCCTTCTCCTCCAAGATCCTCGAGTAGACTATTCAAAATCAGGTGAGAAGTGTTTTTACACTAGAGCATAGTGTTATTGTATAGAGAAATTTGCTCTATTAAATCTTCATGACCCGCGGCTTAGGGGAAAATGCATAGAAAAAAAAATGAGGCAAAATCGAGAAAAACTAACGATTTCTAAGTTTAATAAATACCAGCTGCTACCGAAACCGCTCAACTTGTTGCGATATGGAATTAAGAGAGCGGTAGGAACACTAAAAGTAGGGGACCATTCATTGGAAATTAATTTTTAAGACAATAAAATATATCATTAGCTCATTTCTTACACTCCGTCCCTGTGTTATACTTCTTAGCGTGGAGATAAATGATTTAAGTAATAATAGAGCGTAAAGTCAGTTTTTATGTGTGCACCTAACCAGTCACAGCACTCAAAGTTACTAAACATTACACTTTAATTTGGTTTTACTCATTTGATTACTTATTTTGAGTATAGTTTGTTTCTCTTAAAAGATAAATTTAACTGTCAAAGTTGTTAGCAATGGCCCTACCATGTTTACCACGCTATTCCAATTTTACGACAAGGATCTATATTCTATACCCGAGTATTTTGAGAAATTTTCAGTTACGAATTGTATGATCTCTCTTTTTTTACCGTCTGCGTTCTCTAAAATTGCTTTTAGTGCATGCAGCTTTCTTTTTAATCCATGATTTTTTGATCGAAGTTTTTTAAATGTTTTTTTTTTAAACAATTGGTTTCATTAATGCGAGGCAGTACAAGTATCAAGAAAAAGAAGCAAGAAGCAAAAGACAAAAGAAGCAAAAGACAAAACACCAAAAAAAAATAAAATAAAATAAAAAAATAAACATTTAACTGTAAGTGCATTGTTAATTACTCAATGCGGGTATATAATATTCACACCAGGATCTTGCAAAACAGTCATAATTATGTAAACCCTGGTGCAAAATTCAAGCGGCAATCCGGTCATTTTTGCACAGTCTAAACTAATGCAACGCGTTGAGCGGGAAGTGACGTTTGTCGGCCAATAACACTATGCCATGCCAAACTTATCGATTGTCCACGCTCAGGTCTCGATGCCAAATGGTTTATTTTCTTTAAAGGCCAAATAAATCACCGTCGCAAAGATGACTCTAAGTGATAGCGCATCTGCAGATAACTAAACAGATCCTAAAAATGTAGAACTGAGCGACCTTGGAAAGAATGAGTAAACCATTAACCATTTCCCCATTACCCACGGGTTCTGATTCACACGAACGTCTTACAATTAAAAATGGATATGTTGTGTTGTAGATCGCGTAAAATTGTAGAAATCCTTTCAAAAGCTGTGAAGCTTAATTTTTTTAAAATAAAAATGAATTAATAATGTTTTAAAGTAAAATATGAAACTGAATACTTTCAAATTTAGTTGGTGAGCATCGAGGGTAGCTATAAAAAGAAATTTGTTAGCGTAATTAATTTTTATGTTGAGGAGCTGGAAATACAAATATGAAAAAGAGACCTTTGAGTTAAAAAATTAATTTAAGCGAAGCTCTTGTGTAAAAATAAAACATGATAAGAATGTCAAATTCTTCTAGTTGGTAAGTTATTTAGTTGTATCCATCGTGTATTAATTGAAGTCGGGCAACCGGATTATTTTATAATGAAAAAAAGAGGTCAATGAAGGCACAAGACTCATTCTGCCCATCACAACGACACCTCCTTCTCATAAATAGATTATGCGAAAACTACTCACCGAATACAAAAATTACATGCAATACCAACAGTATACGAATATGGGAGCTGCGAAATTGGTCCGTTTGCAAACGAATTTCGCCGCTATGAAAAAAATTTTTTTTTTAGCAACCTGCGTCAATCGGTTATCATCTGATGCAGTTACAAATCAGCATGATCGACTATGACGCGTTGATCTCAATAGTTTCCTAAGGGGAGACCCATGTTATGACTGAAGGCATAGATTTGTAAGCGTAGCTCATCGATGAGTCCAGATACAGTATAAAATGCTTGAATGCGAGTCGACAGACACAGTTGTGAAGTATTATTCCGGATTTGTTTTGACGGATGATTGGTTTTTGAGATTGGCGTCACCTTGCCGGATTTCCCTGTCGTGCGGAAAAGGAGATTCTATAAGCAGTTATGAGATGAAAGATCTGAACAGTATTGACTCCTTCTATTCGTTTCGTTTTCAATTTAAAACAAACATAAATGATAAATACAGTGATAAGGGGTCTGTGGCCACCACGTGGCCGCCAACTACAGAAATAAAACTACACGTAAAAATTAGCAGAACAACCATGTTCAAGTTATTTCAGAGATGAATGGATTCAAAATCCGACGGGTGCACGCAAAAGAAAGCTTATAGTATTCATCTCTGAGTGCAACGTTATGCACCTCTTTTTATATTTTATTTTTGATCACCGTTTTTAAAAAACCTACTCACAGTTTTTTTGAAGAATTTCTTGCAATTTTTTAGATGAGCTCAAATATAAGCATCCTCATATGCATCCTCACGATGAGAAAATGTAAGAAATGAGCTAATGATATATTTTATAGTCTTGAAAATTAATTTACAATGAGTGGCAGCCTACATTTAACGTCCCTGCCGAACTCTCAATTCAATATCGCAACAAGTTGAGCGGTTACAGTTTTTCTGAAGAGTTTCCTTGCAGTTTTTTAAATGAGCTCAAATGTAAGCATCGAAAATTTCGACGCGGAATTACCGTTCGTTCCATTTTCTTTTTGTTAAACCAAGATTAGTTTTACGCAAATCAAGTTTCAGAATCGCTGCATCGTTTAAACATAATCCGAGTTTCTGAATCGTTGCAATTAAGATACATATTTATCCTGTAATTGTGGTAAAAACTGGGCAGGGACTGTAAAAAGAAAACGCGTTGTCCTAGTTTTGCGGCGATTTTAGCGTTGCGCAAGCCAGGGAAGGGAGCGCGGTCGAGTGTCGAGTCATCTTCATAGTGTGATGCACCTTCAATCCTGCCAGCTATAACGTGCCTCCTATACTCGTAGTCTTATAGTTATCGCAAGGAAGTCTCGCATTGCGTTTTATGCAATGCTAGAAGTATTCATGCAGTCTTGTAGGCGCTAACATGCGTCTGACTCCGACCGCACTGTTTGGCGCAATGCGCGAAGTATTCCCGCAGTGTTGCAGGCGCTGCTCTGAATTTGACGCCGCGCCGCGCTGACTGCGCCGTGTTTGGTGCGATTATTCGAGCTCGCGTTAGGATAATCGCAGCATCGAAAAATGAGACTTAAAGGGCCCATGTTATGTCTTGACGCCGCATGAGCATTCCAACGTTGCCTCTATTCTCCCAATAAAATATTTTTTCTGAGAAAAGTTTACACAGTTAATCGAAGTTTTTTGAACGTGCATTGACAAATGATTGGCCATCATTATCAAAGTTATAGTAGGTGTAAAATGTGGAATTATTCATCAGTTTTCAAGGAGGACCCCATTTCATTAAAAAGGAATGACTTTCCGGGAAATATTAAAATATCATTCTTTCAAAAACGCCTTAATTGCATTGAGTTTAATAGTGAGTTTCAATATTCAACCTTAGAACGCAACAATTGGTTGAGAAATATTCTGACGAGTCCCTCAAATGACGCTTAATTGGACGGTACTAAGCAATAAAGAACTACAATTCCGACTCATCTTAGAAATAACGAATGTACCATTCGTTCCTGTATGCAGGGAGGTGCCTCCACGTATGGGTCATATAGTTCCTTATTGCAAAATAGAGTTCAATTGGAAAGGCTATGACTACTTAGAATTCAGTTGTCATGGAACAGGTAATTCATGATTTTGAAGGCAAATTTGGGGATTCATTGAAAATACGTCTTCCTGTAAAATTACAAGTGATAAGGTAATTTTCTAAAATCGATTTCTAAAGTGCGATTTTTAGAACTCATAGATTCAGCCATGATTTTATCAAACAATGCAATGGTGAGATCTCGAGTCAATTCTATTTGAAATAATTATTTTTACAGATGACGATTTGGATAACTCATGACGTCGTAAAAGGTCAAACGATTACAGGACATTTTTCTCCTCATGCCACGTAAGTTACCTCCACATTTTAAAAAATAATTTATATTATAGACTAATGTATGGTTTTCAGATGGTTAGATGCATAATTGTTCTGTATTAAAACAGATCAAAGAAAAATATAAAAAAGAGGAAAAGTAATCGAGAAAATACATTACAGTTTTGATACTCTGCTTTTTAACTTTTTTCAGAGCAAAATGCATCCTTATGCGATATTTTTGAAAAATATAACACACGATATGCTAAACATTATCTAATTTTGCTATAATTTGAGAGTTCCTTTTAATCCCTAAAAGTTATAATTACCTACGTTATTCCTGAAGATTTACTTGTATGAAGTCTCGGAAACAGCTGAAATTGTCATTGAGGAATTTTTGCGAAAAAATTGTATAATATCCTTCAAGTATGCCAACATCAGCTATGCAGACGATACTGTCAAGTAGAAGTGTGAAATATGCCTTAAATTGAGGGATTAGCATGGGAGAGACTTTTCTAGGGCGTACCAAAATTAGAGATAGATAGAAGTGTTACCATTTTACGTCATAATTATTCTCGTTTATTCTTGTCAAATAAAAATACTATAATAGCAGAGTGACAAATCTATTAAGACCACACTAGACCTCCAAGCCTCCTGTTTATGTTGCTTGAAAATGCTTTTATTCGGCGCTGTCTTCTATTCCACTGAGCACTGAGGGTTATGACGTAATGTCAACGTCTCTGTCTCCAATTTTGAGACGCTCTGGTAATTTAGATACGCTACTTGCTATTCATTTGATTCATGGAGTCTTTTAAACCTATGCTCAATTTCAATTTTTTTCACCTGGCCCAGAAACACCTGAGAAAAGTAAGGACTTTCTCTCATTAATATTTCTTCAACGACAATAATTGCAACTGTTCTCGAGACTTTAGTCGAGGCTCTCTGAGAGACCCTCTGAGAGGTGCCTCATACCTACTCTCATTCATTCGTCCTCTATAAATGTTAGCCCTCCATTCTGATGTTTTCCTGGTTTACTTTCCAGGCATCACAGAATCATAATCGTTGTGCCAACCCAAATCAGACATGTGAATCATATACACCACTACCCACTGAAAGGCCATAAAAGCACGTACTCTCCTCACTATATCTACTACCGGATACCTATCGGTCCGATAAGGCCATACGTGAAATGCACAGCTACGGGCGATCCACGACATCCAGGCCCAGGGAAACCGAGCTACAGCGACTCACCCACACCACCCCCGAAGGGGAACCAAGGGAACGGGTACAACGACAACAAGAACGTCGACTACAATCAGGATCGACCAGAGGGTGACGGACCTCCCCCTCCCCCCGGCTCCGTCGAGGATCGACCCTACTACGATGACGCGTATTCGGACCCTGGCCCAGGGCCTGGACCTGCACCCGGGCTTGGACCCCCACCAGGTCCAGGACCTGCTCCTCAGCTTGGACCCCCACCAGGTCCAGGACCTAGCGGTCCGCCAATCTACGATGGCCCGACGTACAGACCGACTGATCTACCGCTGCCTCCGTACAGGAAGGAATTCAGTAGATTCTCTCTGAACGGCCATGGAGGACCTGGAAGTGGCTCTTTCCCAGCCACCGGGATCGGTCACACCGTCCGCGCGGAAAAGTACTTCCACGACTTCAACAAATTCGATAGTCGACCCAACAAGTTCGCTTCACCTGCCCCTCCATCTTTCGACGACGATTTTCCGACCGACACCCCCGTCGACTTCGATGACTTCAAGGACTTCGATCCACCCCCTAAAAAGCCGCGCCGCAAGCCCAAACCGACCATCACGAAAGACGGGAAACTCCCGAGCGATTTTCCCTACAAATTCAACCATGAAAAACCTCTCTCTCGGTTCCCGTCGAAGAACAGCTTCAGGCCTCCTACGAGCGTTGACTTCCCTCAGGAATCCTCGTATCCTTTCGGTAAAGGAGACAGTCATCCCACAGGTCCAAACCTCCCTTTCGAAGGTAAGAACGCGGGAAATTCTGATACCTACGAGCCTCCCAAACAGAAAGGGACTGTGAAACCGATTACGTATGAAGTCCCGACGAATGTCTATTCTAGTCCAGTCTATGAGGACAAAGTCGAGGAAGAGAATGGGGCCAAAGAAGACAATTACGACTACATCAACACGGACGTGGGCCCGAACGAGTTCAACGACAACTACCAATACGTCCATCAGTCGGAGGAACTGAAAGCTCAACTAGGGTTGACAAGTGACGAATCCGATAACTTCCCGTCTGCTGAGTTTCCACCTGACCCACCCAAACCTCACGACACCACAGTTCCACCCCGAGGTAATGGTGACTCACCCAATTTCCACCCAAGTCAGCCGGACCCCACTCCGCAACTACCGGAGCCAGACTTCCAGTTCTTTAAAGCGAGCCCTCCGCCTCCGCCGAAGAAGAAGGTGAAATACGTTTCCTACGTCAACGGTCCCTTCTCGAAGCCGTCCCCGCCGCCGGATCAGCGGGACCAAAACGAAGTCAAAATCGAGAAGCAGAATTTGATTCCGCTGAAACCGATGATCCTCACGCACGAGGAGTTTTTCAGGTCCCCGCACAAGTCGTACGACAAGGTCATAGGTCACGGAAGGGCTCTCTACTCGGCGAACACCGACTACAAGTTCGACACGCAGATCAATCAAAAGTACGAGATACCGTTCGAACCTCACAGGCTTCAGAGTAAAATGGTGACCAAGGAGATGCCTCCCGAGGATATTAGTAGGAATGCGTCTGATCACCAATCGGATTCCGTCAATTTGAAAGATAGGATCCACCAAATTCATGGCTATGTCCCGAAAGAGTGAAACGCTGCCACCTAGCTACTCTGCCGTGCTAAGGAAGAACGCCTTATGAGCCTTCAGACGTTGCCAAGTATCCTCCGATAAAAAGCGAATTTAATGGGAAAATTGTGAAAATTATTTTCCAAAATCTTCAGACAATTCTGTACACAATTTAATCTAAAATATCTGACAATTTCAAGGAAAAATATGCATGAATGTTGTCGAAAATCCATGGTTTATCAAGGGAAACTTGGCAACTCTCGAATGTTCGTACGGCGTTCTTCCTTAGCACGGCGGCACTGCGTAGTTTCTTGGATCGCACTAATCTGCTGTGGTGAGGCGTGAATTATCGATGATTGATATCTCTCCATTTGAAGTGGTAGTAAAGAATCGATTATTAAGGTGTTCGTTGCGAACACCCTAGCTATCGACCCTATTCCAATAGGTTTAAAAGATAGATCAATCGAAATGTCGCAAGCGCACGACGCCACTACTAATCTGCCGTGCTAAGGAAAAACAACATATGAACATCAGACGATGCTAGATTTTCCCAGATAAAATATGTATTTTTCAGGAATGCTATGAATATGTCTCCTTGCAGTTTTCGATACTTTTGGTAACACTGCGTATGCAAATCTCTGAGAACCGAGATAAAAATATTTACAATTTTCTGAAAATTTGATTTTTATTGAAGGAAATGTGACAAACTTCGGGTATTATATTGCGTTTTTGCTTAGCACGGCAGTATTCTCCTGGCCAGAAGTAAAGATGGTTCGAATTTAGTAAAAATGAGCAAGCCTTTTTTTTCTTCCCGGAAAATAAGGAGTCTGCGTGTCGTAGAATTTGTCTTTCGTTTCTAATAAAGGAAAGATTTTGTTCCGTAATTTAAATTTTTTTAAATTACAAAAGCATTGTCGGTTTATCTCTGAATAACAGAACCAAATTTACTGCAAAAATTGTTAACTTTCTCTTGAATTTTTGAAAACCTTGGGTCTTTCATCCTGAACGTCAAAAGAGCCGAATTAACAGAGAGAGAGAGGAACACAAATGCACAATTGGACGTATTTCTGCCAAACGGATCTATGTGCATTAGGAATGAGCCCTGATACCCATAAGAATATATGCACAACAGGGCTCACCCCATATAGCGCATAGTTCCTTTTGGCAGAAATACGTCAAGTTAGCCCCTTGTCAGATTTAAACCGGTGAAATCAATCCAGGGAGAAGAACTGATTGGAAAATGATGTTTTTAAGGTTCTTTCAAGCAACTAAAGAGTGCACACCTTCTCTTGAAAATCTTTTTATTCCTTCCTGTTAAAGTTGATCCAATATGATTCTCTCTTGACTTTTTTCCTGCAACTAAGAATGCACTATGAACAGAAACATTTATGTCTTGCTTAAGCACTCTGATAATTCAGTTACTTCACATGAAATGATCAAGACTGTATATAAATACAAATTTAGCAAAAAGAGGCTTGGAAATGTGAAATTTTTCATCGATAAAGACAGCAATTTGATTTTTAACTTTGAATGAGTATATGAGCCTATATTGTAAAAAACGAACTATTTCAGGGCATCACTTAAACTTTGATGATTAAGGCACTAAACTGTTTTACTATTTCCACACAATATATTTTAATGCCAAAAGATAGAACTTCTCTGACGTGTTGAGAACGGACAATGTGTAAGCATTTAAAAATTACCAACTTTAGCCCTATTTTACATGTTTTTGAGAAAAGTTGCGTGAACTCATTCATCATATTTAGGTTTACCATATGTTCAGCTGCATAGTTTTTTTTTTTTTTTTTTTTTTTTTTTTTTTTTTTTTATAAAAAACAAGGAGAAAAAAATCAGTTTCACGGAAATTGAGTCATATCAGAAAACAATTTGTTCATGCTTTGCAAGGACGTAATCATGCTTGAAGAACTATATGTGCATAGGGTTTCTGTGCAACATAGTTCCTTTTAGTATAAACACCTCCAATTTAGTTGATAATATTGATTGAAGTCTAAAAGCTTAGTGAATCTTCGGACGTATCCATTACAAAAATGCAAAATTACTATGCGTGTGAGGAAAAAAGAAATTTATAATGTACTCGTGATAAAGAATGAAAAAATACAACGTACATTAATAAAGAGTTATTTACAGGAACAGAGAGAAATTTTGAGAAAAATGTTGTCACAAAAATGCACCTACTTGTAGTCATTGTGATGATTGTTACTTCTCTCATGAAATCTTAGACTATTTTGTACCATAAATATAGTTAAATGATTGTCAAACTATTGGCAATCGATTATTACTATTATTGTTGTAAGTGTTGAATGTACAAAGAATAAAAAATTGTAAAAAATAAACAACTGCTGTGAACAGCAGCTTTTAAAAAGAAAGATTATTATTAGTATTATTTTATTCACTTGTTCTATCCTTATTATGAAAAAAAATCACATACCCTTAAGACACCGATTTCAGGAGGAATCTTTGAAAGAGGATTGTGCTATTGTATAAATGAGCAGCTGCAGTTTTTTCATGAACTTTTTGACGACCAATCTCTTGAGATATGAAAAACAAAACAAAAAAATAAAAAAAATCGCTAAGAATCCGGAATTATTGCGGGCGATCGAATACAAGGTACCCGAGATTCTAATGTACTTTTGATATATTTATTCAAGCAAATCGCTTAAACTTACTCGTTAAAGTAACAATTACCTATTCAATTTTAACTGGATTTTATGAACTGCTTCGTAAGTTAGCGAGACGCGTAATGAGCAGCGTTTTTTCTTGCCATTTTCCCGAGCGTCTGCGGAAGTGATTGTCGGAGGCAGTCTCTCAAGAGGAAAATTTATCTGGGTACCTTCTCTTATTTAAGTCAGATGCGTGTTGGTATTAATATCCTCTATTTTCATGCCTGAGCTCTAGATTTAGACGGAGGGGGGGGGGGGGGGGGGGGTTTAGCAGCGCCAAGAAGGCGTCAAATAACAAGAGAGCGAAGGAACAGAGCGTGGAAATCGCACTGCAAATCTGGAGCCGCGAATGGATTCGTCGTCAAATACGGTGAACTAATACGTTGTATAAAGAAATCGACTTTATTTCTTTTACTCAAGCTGCACTTGTTAGCGCGCATGCTATCGCGATACAGCGCATGCAAAAATATTGGAATACAAAATCGTCATAATATTTAAAGATATCATACTTATTTTTACGTCTTTTTAATTTAATAATTAAGTCTGTTGTAGACGTTCTCCTTATTAGAATAATTTTCAATTAACCCGTTTTCCCGCACTCAAGGAGTCAAAAATAAATAAGTTAGTTTCTATTTTTCGAAATCCCTTCAAGTATCTATGCATATCTCTGCACTTACAAATAGTGGTGTAATAGCCAATTTCCCGAATTCGTCTCTTGCAAGAAAAAAGAGAAGAAAATGTGTGTTTCTTGAATAGTCAACTATTCGAGCACTCTGGTACGATTGTTGCCTATGCTGAGAGATTGAAGGTGAATTTCAAGCGGACGATTTCCAGAAAAGGGCCTACGCATTGTCTATGGACCACCTGAGAAGGTACGGCTTTCGACATTCTGATACTTCAATTCCGGCCTTTCACGCAGAACACCACTCACGCAACAAAAATAGCTAAAATTAATCCAAAGAGTTCTGTTTTTGCGCATCGACGACATATGAATACAATGAGTGACACATTTTGCCATTACAAACAGTAAAATTAAGATACTGAGTCTTCTTCAATGGCTAAATGGACCGCGTTACCTAGTAATGAAACAAGCCGCACATCAGTTATTGCCAAATTTAATTAGGCTATACTTAATTTTATCTTGATTTATTTTGCGAGGATAGCTCTGTTTTCTTAAAGGATGCATGCCATTCTTGATACGTTAGAGTGCCTTCAATTTCTTATAACACCACTGTCGTGAAATAGTTGCTTGAAGCGACGCGGCACTCCGCGTCCGCGGCCTACGGCCAACCAGCGTTACATGCGCATAAGCGCCTACAAACCTAACAGGGATACTTCACGCATTGCGCAATGCGTGAAGTATCCCTGTTAGGTTTGCAGGCGTCAGCGCGCGTTTCGCGCTGGCAGCACGCCGCGCCGCCCGCCGCGCCGCTGAATGACCCACTAAGTAAGATTTTCTGGTCAGGAGACCTGTATGAATACGGTTGTGCGGAGTTTCGTGCATATTTCAGTGAATTTTCTGCACAGTACGAAGCAAATTCATTTAAGTTCCCAAAATAATTCGCACAATCGTTCTCTTGTAAGAAATTAAATTGCTCAGATTTTGGCAATAGCTGATGTAGCTTAATTCCTCTCTGCTAGGCGTGGTTTAAGTCTGGATGCAACTATGCGTGTTCTTGAGATGTCCGCGTTGCATACACCAAAAATCGCAGGCACTCTGGTTTTCTAAGTCACAACGTATGACTGCGATTTTTACTTCTCAAGGGTTTCCTGGGTTGCATTCACAATCGTGTCTACCATGAACTCCTCGAATTCCGAATGAATCTCATGTGTCATCACGGCAGCATCTCTCATTGAACCATTATTTTCAGTTTATCTGCAATTTACACTAAAAAACAATAATAGCAATAGCAATGGGTCAGACACTACATTTCAATCCTCTATGTCTGGTGTAAAATGTATATGCGCGGTTCATCAACAGCCCATAACTTAAAATGAAACCCAAAAAGTAGTGTTCACGCCAAATAAGATTACGCACTTTTAAACTGCGAGGGAAGAGCCGCCAGATTGCTTCTTGTATTTATTTTACATGTAAAAGCGCCGTCAGACGATCTACTGTCATAGTCTAACAGTGTGTGTAGACTTATTTGGCGTAGACTCTATTAACCACCAAAGAAATTGAAATTAAGGAAGTATGAAATGATTTTATTACGCACTCGTAGCATATAATATACTCGTATGCTAACTTAATTGGATGCTTAACCCTTCTTTGTCCGAAAGAAACTCAGATGAATACAGATTCACTCGAGCACCACTAACTACACTAAACGCTGTCGTGCTAAGGAAAAACGCCATATGAACATTCGAGAGTTGCCAAATTTCCCCAGGTAAAATGTTAAATTT